ACTACAAATTTTGAATCTACAAATTTTGAGCCAGTATATGTAAATCATTTGAATACAAACACAGATGAGTTAGTAAATTCTTTCTGGGAGTTAGAAAAGTTTCCAAATGTACAACCTTTAACAAATGAAGAAAAACTTTGTGAAGAACATTTTAAAAACTCGCATTTTAGAGACACATCAGGTCGTTATTCAGTTGCATTACCATTCAAACATAATAGAGATATTCTAGGTGACTCCCGTGAAATGGCGTACAGAAGATTTCAATACTTGGAGAAGAGGCTGTTATCTATGAAAGAAATTTACAACCAGTATATTCAGTTTATGAAAGAGTACTTTTCACTAGAACACGTAGAATTAGTGCCAGACACAGATTATGAATTAGAGAATAAACACTATTATATCCCACATCACTTCGTGTTGAAGGACTCTAGCTTAACAACAAAATTGAGAGTTGTTTTCGATGCGAGCGCTAAAACAACCACAGGTGTTTCTTTTAAATGATACACTAATGATAGGCCCAAAAATACAAGATGACTTAATTTGTATTTTACTAAGATTTAGACTTCATAACATTGCAATAACCGCTGATATTAAAATGATGTACAGACAGATAAAGGTTCATGAAAAAGATAGAGATTTTCAGAGAATATTATGGAGAGATAGCCCGTATAAGCAAATACAAGTTTGTCGTTTGAAAACAGTTACATATGGAACTGCAGCTGCTCCATATCTTGCAACCAAAGTTTTGAGTCAGTTAGCGATTGATGAAGGATTGAACTTTCCAAAGGCAAAGAATATGTTTTAAGATGTGTAAAAGATAGTTCGGAAGGTATTGCATTGATAGACGAATTGCAACATCTGCTAAAAAGTGGTGGCTTTGAGCTTCACAAATGGTCGACAAGTGAACCGTCATTGTTAAAAACCTCTGGCTTAACAAACACAGATAGTGACAATATTCATCGTGTAATAGAAGACAAACCATTGAAAGTTCTGGGATTGGAATGGCATCCGGACAATGATGAATTCAAATGTAATGTCGGTGTAATAGAGTATCAAAGTGTTCCGACTAAAAGAATTATTTTGTCATTCGTAGCAAAAACTATTCGATCCATTGGGGTGGATAGCTCCGTTTGTAATTCTCGCTAAAATGATCCTTCAGCAATTGTGGAAATTACAGTTATCATGGGATGATCCTGTAACAGAAGAGATTGATCGAAATTGGAGAAATCTATGTAGAGAAGTTAAACTTTTGAATTCTATAAATATACCTAGGAAAATTCTGCTACCTGATTATTTTCGATGTGAACTTCACGGATTTTGTGATGCGTCTGAAAGAGGTTATGCAGCAGTTATTTATATCAAAACTTGCAATAACTCTGACATTAATGTTAAACTCGTAACAGCTAAAACTCGTGTAGCACCATTAAAATCTATTACGATTCCAAGACTGGAATTATGTGCAGCAGTGTTATTGGCACGCTTGATTCAGTCTGTAAAAGCTGCATTAGTTATAAATTTTGATTTAGTGCAAGCTTGGAGTGATTCACAAATCGTGTTGTCATGGCTAAGGTCAGATCCTAAAAAATGGCAAGTATTCGTATCCAATAGAGTTTCTGAAATACAATCCATCTTACCACCTGAGAACTGGAGTCATGTTGATGGAAAGGAAAATCCAGCTGATTGTGCTTCAGGTGGATTATTTCCTGCAGAACTATTATCTCATCAATTGTGGTGGAATGGAATGGTCCTTCTTGGTTAAAGTGCAGTGAGATTGCCTTGTCTAAAAATATTCTTATAGATGAAGAGGCATTACCAGATGCACGTAAAACAGTCTCATTTGTAGTTTCTGAACCTGTACAGGAACTTGCTATTATATCAAATATATCTTCATTTCCAAAGTTACAACGCATATTTGCTTGGATATTAAGATTCATATCGAATTCTAAAGTAGCATATCTAGAAAGAAATACGTCTTTTTTATCTAGTAATGAAATTCGAGCTGCAACTTTCTGTATTGTCCGAATAATACAGCGATTTCACTTTTTTAAAGAAATTCAATGTTTGGAGTTGGGAAAGGACTTACCTACAAACAGCAACCTCCTTAGCTTGTGTCCAATTTTAGATGACAACAAAGTGTTACGTGTAGGAGGAAGACTGAAAAATGCGCAACTATCAGAAAATGAAAAACATCCAATCTTATTACCTTCAAAACACAATCTGACAGAAATCATAATTAGACACTTTCATGTCAAATATCTGCATGCAGCACCGGAACTTCTTCTATCTTTAATTAGACAGCAATTTTGGATCATAGCTGCTAGATCTGCTATCCGAAAAGTAGTAAAAAATCTTGTATCACGTGTTGCAACTTAGAGCTAAAACTGCAAGTCAAATAATGGCTGATCTACCGGAATCTAGAGTAACACAATCGCGACCATTTCATCGAACTGGAATAGATTTTTCTGGACCGTTCATGATTAAACATCGTGCAGGACGTGGACAAAAATCATTTAAATATTACGTATGCTTATTTGTGTGTTTTGTAATCAAGGCAGTACATCTTGAAGTGGTAGAAGATTTGTCAACAAAGGCATTTTTTTAAGTGCATTGAAACGATTTATTGCAAGAAGAGGGAAACCATTTGAGATTTATAGTGACTGCGGTACTAACTTTAAAGGTGCAGACAAAGAAATCAGAAAATGTTTTTTGCAATGTAAGCAAAATCAAGAAATTCACAAATTTTTGTCTTTAGAGGAAATAAAATGGATATTCAACCCGCCATCATCTGCCCATTTGTGTGGACTATGGGAATCGGCAGTAAAGTCAATGAAATTACATCTAAAAAGGACTGTTGGTGATACTGTGCTGACCTATCCGGAATTTCAGACCTTGATAGCGCAGGTTGAGGCTTGTCTCAACTCTAGGCCATTGTGTCCAACATCGGCTGATCCAAATGATTTAACTGCATTAACACCTGGTCATTTCCTAATAGGAACGTCTTTAACTGCCATACCTGAACCAAACCTACATTAGAGTTCCTTCAATCACATTGACAGATGGCATGTGAGACAGTTTATTTTTCAGCACTTCTGGAAAAGATGGAGACCTAAATGGCAAAAAAGTCAAAACAATTTAGAAGTCAATGACTTAGTCCTCATCAAAGAAGACAACCTTCCGCCTCTTAAATGGAGGTTAGGGAGAATAATTGCTGTTCATCCGGGCTCAGATCAAAGAGTCAGAGTTGCTAGTATTAAAACTGGTCATGGTGTCATAAAACGACCAGTCGTGAAATTGTGTCCTCTTCCTATTCAGACTAAAAAACTATGAACTGCTTTGCATATAATATTTTGTATTATTTTTCTTATGTTTATCTTTATTACAGTCTAAGAAGTTTCAAAATGCTCCAACTGTTGAAATCCCCTAGGATTTCAACGAGGGCCAGGATGTTTATGTGAGTATCGTTTGCTTCATTTTATTGTTGCAAACAGCGTAAATTCCTTTTGCTTTTCTTCCTTTAGTTTTGAACTTTATGTGTGGCAACAAGATAATTGATTGATAGAATTGTGTTTGTGACAGCCATGTAGAATGGCTCGCTTATTTTGTATCAATTATTTCGCATCGCTGACAAGTGTAATTTAATAAAAGTGTAGGAATACAGTCCATTTGTTGATTGATTATTGTTTGTGAAATATATTAAGTTTAATATAAAACAGAGGTAGATATGAACATGGTTTAATTTTTTTCACAGCAGGGATAAGGATGACTTTTTGAATTTATATTTGCACTATGTTTATCTGAATCAAGAGGAGCAAAGCCATTTTGAATAACACTTCTTTGGCAGACAGGCTATGATCAGCTTGTATAAAACAAAATGGAAACGGTTTATATTTGGCATTATTTTTCAATAAGTTTTACTTTTAAACGTATTCTCAACTAAAAAATTTTAAGTTTTTGCTTTATAACTTTTCAATTCATCAAGGAATTAATATGCATTTAACTTTCATAAAAATTATTAGCTTTAAACCAATAGTCTGAGACTATTGCTAACTTACTTTAAAGCTAATAATCTAACAAAGTCTTCAAAGTTTGTTAACTCAGGAAATCCATACTAAAATTTTTGCTTTGCTTTCAACCCTATTATCCATGCTAAATGTTAAAAAAGCCTTAAAATATATTTATACTAAGTCATTTCACTTATCATGAAAATGGAAAGAAAATCATTATTTCATATGTGTAGCTGCTAATTTGTTAATCACTATTAAGTTTGCATAATTTTATAATGTAGTAAATTTACTGAGATATGCTTACAATTTTTTTGAATAAAAGATCATATTCTAGCTTGATTGATCTTATTTGTATGTGCATTTCACATGATACCAAAAATCAAATTCTTGCTACCTAATTTTTTAATGTTAAGTCTGTTGAAATACCAATTAGATTTTTCCTTTTCCACTGGTAAGAGATACGGTTTATTGAAATTCTCAACTGAATTTGTAATTCAGTAGAAAATTTCTTTTTTTCTCTGAGATATAGTCTCTTATAATTTTTCTCAGCTGAGAAATGTGCTTCAATATGCACTTTTTAATATTGTCACACAGCTTTGATTCATTTTCAATAATAATAAAAAATAATAAATAAATAAATAAATACAAAAAATAAAAAAATAATAATAATAATAAAAAAACTGTTTTCCAAAATATGGTACATAAATTGCACTGACATGTAATGATCAAATATCTATATTTTAAAGTAACATACTAATTATCATCATAAGTCTTTAAAGGAAGATAATAACTTTACTTAAAACAGAAAAAGTGTCTCCTATTAGAACACAAACATCATTCACTTTTCATAATAAAATTTTCTTTATATTCATAATACACAAGGGGTGTTTTTTAAGTTAGGGCCGTTTGAAAATAAAAACCAAACAAAACAAAATTTTCAAAAACTAAATTTATTTTCAGATTCATAGTTTGTTTTAACACTTATCATACCTTAGAACTAAATTTTTAATACCCTCTTCATAGAAACTTGCCACCTGCTCCGATAACCAAGAGGTGACAGCTGTTTTCAAGTCCTAGACTAGACACTTCAAAAAATTTGTTTGAAAGAGATTGTGTCTGTTCTCAAGAATTTTCGCTGCAACTGAAGCGGGGGAGTCGATACTCTTCAACATTTGAAAGACACAGAACAGACCATACAAGTTACCTACACAGCTGCAACTGAGCACAGTTGTTTCCAAGGAATGCTGGGACCAACTGCAAGACATGTATTAGTGCATACATCAAAATGGCCCTTACTTAAAAAACATGCTATATATACATATATAATATATATATATATATATATATATATATATAATATAATGTTGTATGATCTTAAATCCATTTAGTGCGAATACAAGTTATTATTACTTGCTCAATTGCTGCAAAGTTAGTTAATAATAATTTATTTCCTAAACAGTATTGATTAATTGATTATATTATCTCCTAAGTTAATTAAAGTAGAATTATTTTAAAAGTGTGCATCCATTACTGGTAAGTTATATTTTGAAAGATGTTTTGAAGTAATTTGAAAGCAAAATGTTAATAATGTTTTAACGGGGACTGGAGTTAAATCATCACGAAGAATAATATTTCAATTGTAAAAGGAAAAATTAAAACATGTAATCATTGTCATTGATCGGAAATTAGTTGACTTTTCAAGGGGAACAAACCAACTCCCGTTCAATGAACAATAATTGATAAAAATACGTAAATACGAAAGTGATATATATACATAATAAAAAAATTCCAACATTAGCCTTAAACTTAAAAAAAAAAAAAAAAAAAAAAAAAAAAAAAAAAAAAACCCTTTTGAGATAGCATTACACTTTTTAATGGATTCAAATTATTCCACTATGTCCTGAATTAGTTAGCAATAATAAAAGCAAGGTTTAATTCTTACTTAATTCCCCACAAAATAAATAATCTGAATTTAATTATCTGGATTTAAAAAAATGATAATTACTACAACGACATCTTACAACCAATTTGGTATTCATTTTACAATGAGTGCAAAACAATAAGGTAGCAATCGCAATGTTTAATGTATTTGGTGATTTTGACTATTGATAATATAGTCCCATTTTTTGGGTCCAATAATGATTTTACTCATTTCATCTGCACATATCAACACCATTATCATTCAACATAAATCCAAGGGTTATTTGTGTTTATTCACATATTCATTAATATATCTAAAAATTTTTCTCCAGTACTTTTATTTATAAGATGTTTTCAAAAAACACATCTTTTTTGACCAGCAGAATTAGAAACACAGGTCTGAAAAATACTAATACTATTAAAATAATAAAACAAGCAACATCCATTAGCAGTGTTGAGGATAAGATTTTGAAACACGGTATTAAGTATTTTCAGCTTAATATTTATTTATTTACTTTATTAAACATTTCTTTCAATGTAAGTTGTTTAAGTTGCTTCGTTTTTTGTGCTAATACTTTCTCTTTAATTCTATAAACAGACATAATTTCTTGTTCAGTTACAAAGTCCCACTGTTTAAAGTCCTGTAATTGCAGTGTCGAGAATACCGACTAACTTGTCAATCAAAATTTTCTCGTTTTCAATAATTTCTCTGTAACTTTCTTTACTATCAGAAGCGCGCATGCATAAGTTTGTGACTTTGAGGTCTGGATTATAGATCATTCCGGATAATGGACGTCCGGATTATGGACTTTGTACTGTATTTGAGATAGCTTTATTTTCATTTGTATTAGGAAGTCATCTCAGTTAAAGTGCGTTTATCTTATCTTTTAGTATTGAAGGGAGGAGAGGTTATTGAGAAAAACTGCTGATTATTCAAATGCTACTAATGAAATTTGAGTAAGTGGGGGGTTTTTAACTGTGGCATAAAATAGCTAATTTATACATGGAATAAGCATAAGATCGATAATAGACAAATATTTTAAATTATGAATTTAACAAACCTGTCATATTTTTAGCAAGATTCAAAGCAGTAATTACAGCTTTCTGTACTTTTCTTGGTAGAATGGTATCTTCATCATTGCAAGCTTTTAATATGGATCCTTTATCAACATCAATAATCAGCAGCTACATGAAAAAATAGAAACTGAATAAAATAGATGTAAAACTTCTTACATAATGTATTAATATATAAGTTTTGCAGTTAAATAATTTGAGTTTATTTATAATACAAGATAATTTCAAAATAACAGCTAAAACAGAATTTTAAAATTGCATAAATTTTTACCATACATTAGTGTTGATTTCCATAAAAAAACAATATATTTTTACAGAAATTACATGAGTCTGCTTTCTTCAAAAAGAACAGTTTCTGGCAGAACACAGAACATTCTGCTCCTTAAAAATGAAGTGTTTTTATACCAGCTTTTCTTGAAATACATCCAGCTTTTCTAACACTATCATCATTTGAAACTGGATTTTGCTTAAACTTAAAATCAAAGTTTTACCATAAAGCAAACAGTGTTATTTCATGATTCTGCACCTATTTGCCTTTGAAATCGATAGACTCTTGACTAAAATCTACACCCAACACAAGGTTGTTGCTTTGCTAATTTAATGATTGTATTGATATTAAATCCAGATTTCACTGCAATTATAAGGTTCGATACATGCTCGTTTTAAATGCGGGTACTGATTATTAAAATACCAACATGAACTACAAATTTTAAATTCTGAAATCTGAAGCTACTAATACATAAGAATGAGAACTTACTTCATGTTCTGAAAGCAATTCCAAAACCGTACTACAACTGTTTGTTAAAATTCCAAGAATATAAGGTGAATCTGAGCAACACTGAACTGTTAAACAATTAGGAAGAACAGGAACAATCATATGCGGCCATTCAAATGGATACAGCAAAGAAGACACTGCTTTACAGCACTGATAAAGGTTACTATGAAAAACATATAATAATTTAGAAATCATATTATTACAACATAAAATGCAAAAGATTTAAAAACTAAGAGACATGGACTTTATACTTCTGTTCTACAAATGGTGTTAAGTACAAAACTATAAACATACCTGGTAGAAGAAGAAAATAACAAAATACGACGTTCAAGCAATAAGGAAGCAACAGATTTTACAAGAATATCAACATCTAACAACTGCAATGCTCTTGTTAACTCAGCCTAAAATGTAAAAGCAATTTACAAACATAAAATGTTGTTTTTGGTACATATATATAAAAATATTTTATTAATTATAAATTTGCTTTTCAGAATTATGGCAAGTAACCAAACATTATGTCATTAAATTAGATCAACTATGCATCATTTTAAAATACACATAAACTTTTTTATATATTGCTAAATACTATAATCTTTTTTATATCTTTTTGCAATTTCATTCATTTTACAGGTCAATGGTTACACAAATTTCATTCCTTTTACAGGCCAAAGGTTACACAACTCGTTATTGAGTAGGTGGTCATATTGTTATGGCTCCTCAGTGTATAAATGTGTGTAATAGACTGGACAGATTTATTATGCATAGAATGATAACACTTGCAGACAAACATAGCCATAGATTCAAAATAATTTTAGTACTGGTTAACACAATTCTTTAGATGCATAACCTTATTCACACATCATCGTGGACACAATATGCATCTCACAATTTTTGGAAGCTTACATATAGAGACATACCGTGGACCATAGACAGAAGCGAACAGCAAAGTGTTACTTTCATGCAGGCAAGCAGGAAAGCATACACAGATACAGAAGAAGTGAGGAACACATAAAAAAGGTTTTGATTTCAATAGCAATCTTGTTCAGTGATTGGATAAGAGGTATCTGCATTGCAGCATTATATAAGATCTTACTATGTGGATTAATTTTGAAGTGCCACAGTTTAGATTCATATGTTATGACAATTCATATCTTACAATTTTAAGGATAGAAAGGGGAAGTATAAAATTAAAATGAAGAATAAATAAAGGAGCTTTTGCAAAATTAAAGTTAGTAGTTTGCTTTCATATTTTAATCTTAGACATGTATATGTTACGGTGAAACACCGAAATCTGGAGAATGTCAACATAGTCACTTGGTGTATGTATGTCCGAAATATTTTCCAAATACTCTTATTTATGACTGACACCAGTGAATGTCGACATTCACCATGTCGACCAATGTCGACATTCACCATGTACTAATGGTGAATGTTGAACATATAAGAATATTATATTTCCTTCTCCGTAATTCATTCACGAAAAAACGCACTTGAGACTCAGAATAAGAACATAAGAACTTAAAACACACAGTACATTCAAAATGAGAAAGGAAAATAATAGAAATTATAAAATTACGAAATTATGTGATTCAAATCTTATTTATTGCAACAATTTAAACTATTATGACACTTTGATATGCACAAGAGGCCCTTGCTTTTACAACTGCATTTATTTGTGGAACACTTCCTTTTGGAATGGCAGCGTGTACATATACTCCTCTCTTTTCGACCTACACCAGAGCATATCTGTGATTGTCGACATACACCGGTGAGGGTCCGAATGTACAAGAATGTAAAGAAATATTCGATCTTTCACCGATGTATTTGTGAATGTTGACATTCTCCAATTTCGGTCTTTCACGGTAACATATACATGTATAAACGTAAAAGCATATTAAATACTCTTTTATTCTTCATTTATGCTACTATGCTGCTGTTTTCTCATTTACTATTTCTAAAAAATTATTGTGCATTTTCAAATATTAGCCTATCTGTATAGAAGTTGTGTGTTCTTTCTTAAAAAAATTACCGCAAACTGAAAACCCATACATAAGGCAAAATGAAAAACAATTTTCCTGCAATATTGAAACTTGTTGCCATGAGGGCAAAAATATTGCCAAGCAAGCAACAAAACAGGCGGAATATCAAATAGCTGTTAAACAAAATGCTAGATATCAATGCTATAGTTTTAACTGTGGCAAAAAGTGAAAATACTTAAAAAGAAAGATTCAGTAACACGTCAATGAATAAAAGACACCTGGTTGGAACTTGCATCTAGTTTAATTTATTTTACAAAACAAGCAAGAGGTATCTAAAGAACTTTCTAAGGGAAACTGGCTCATATCCACATTATACGTAGGAAAAAACCCCACAAAAATACATATGCAGCCAGCCTGTTTGCCTGGAAATTAATTAACAGTGTTCATTGATTTTACCACTTGGTCACTGGTGGGCATAGAAATTCTGTTTGTAGTTCGAGCTTTTAAAAAGTGCTTCATCAACAACTGTATGGATGGCAGTGTGAATGATTTTGTACTTGGAGGATATTAATTCTAGTACAGAAAGTACTGAAAGTGATGATGATGATACACATACACATATCCCAATGAGTAAAAGTGAATTTTACGAACTATTCAAAATCCAATGATTTTCTACTATTATTTCTCGTGAACATTTTGGTACTTTTCCTTAGCTAAATGCATATTTCACCAACATCAGATTTTTCATTTTGGGGATGATGAAACCAACCAACAATACAATCAATTTTGAAAATGAAACAACTCTTTTCATACAACAAATGACTCATTTCATTTAAAATTAACTTTTTTCTTTTGGAAACTTAGGAATTATAAACTAAAGAAATAGAAAAGTGCTATATTTGGCAATTTATTACTTGCATCCAGCTAAAAGAAAAGTACCAATGTTTTTTGCAAAATTAGTGGAAATTTTGTTTTTTTGCAAATTATAATCCAACCCCATAATTTAGCTTTAGAAAAAGCTCCAAAAATTCTTGGCTTATGCATGGAAATATTACAGCACTTATATTATTACTAAAAATTACTCACTATATATCATTTTGCATAAAATGTGAATTAAAACGCTCTAGGATGGGGCAAAATTAGCCTAAAACTGCTAAAAGCTGTTTTACTAGAAATGATGCAACCAAATCGCATTTTTTTGGGGGGGAGGGTAGGAATTTAACTTTTGGCCTTTGTTTCTGCTCAGCATTACGCATTTTAACTTTTTATAGCAATAATGTGTAATATCTATTCTTTGGAGCATTACAGAAAAATCACATTACAATTCAAAACTCTCAATGTGAAAAATTGTTTAAGTTTGTTTAAAAATGTTTAAAAATGGAAAATTTATGTTTCAATACCAACACATAATTTCAAACTTGTAGCTCATTTTCAGGGGTCAAACAATTACAGAAATAGTTTAATGTATAGCAGCATTTTCAGATGATAGTTTTCACATACTTTAAATTTGTATAGTCTACATATGGATACAAAAAAGTATAAGGAAAAGGCCCTGAGATATAAAACTGTTGCAAAATTTTCTGGTCTGAAGAATTATAAATCTCAGTATTTTAATAACTGGCTTATACAGTCAAAAGTCTTTAATCCGGACTCGTCGGGACTTCAGCGATTCCAGATTATAGATCATCAATTTAAATCTGGTAAGATGGCATGCAGAAATTATAAAATAAAAAATATGAAACCGTAGTTTATGAAATAAAGAGCAATTATGATCTAAAGGGTATCAAAATTTACCAAAAAAGAAGCCTAATATTTATTTGTTTACTTTATTAAACATTTCTTTCAACGCGCACATGCGTAAAGCATACATTACGCATAGTAAAAATTAGAAAATTGCAATCAGAAAACTATTTGATGTGTATTTGTGATATTTATAATGACGAGGAATTCGATTTAAATCATATCAAAGACGGAGTACATTGAGATGAAAGACTACATTTAGGAATTATAAAAACCGAATGAAATAAAAACATCTGGCCTGAAGATAATAGGATATTGCTGACAGATCAACTTCCAGTTAATTGCGCGCTGCGATGCCCCCCCCCCACAGAGCAGCACGAAATTGAAAAAGATTTCAGAATGGTTAGAGAAACAAAGGATATGCCTTTATCCATTGCAGCAATTCCACTTTTTGTTTGAGGGACATCAAAACATGCTTTCGCTTTGTAGATAGATCCTTTAGCAGCTCCAGAATCGGAAATTCTATTTGATATAATCGAAAGTTTAAGCTTACTTTTATAAAATTGCTCTAACAGTCTGGAAAAATTAATAAGCCGGATCCAATTCGAAAAGATTAAGGAACAACGCACAATCTGCAACATTAACTGAAATAGATAATTAGATAATTTTAGCTTAGCTTATACTGTCCGTTATACATTAAAACGCGCATGCGTATGCGCACATGTGTGAATGCATTATGCGTTTGACGCATGCGCAGAAAGTTTGTAGCTTTGAGGTGTGGATCATAGATCATTCCGGATCATGGGTGTCCAGATTAACGACTTTTGACTGTAATTTAATTTGGATCTACTAAGTATTCTTGCAGCAAAATCTGATTATTGCTACAAATATAAAAATTCTCATTAATTCATTAACATAGTTTGATTGACCAAACTGCTCTTTATATTAATAAAACATCTCAGATATTTTGGTGAAAAGAAGCTCTAAATTAAGCAAAGAAGCTAATTATCTAACAGGAAATGAAAAAATATATCTTAGGTAAACACTAGAATCTTTAACAAATAATGAAACATACTAGTTAAGCATACTGAAGCATCATAGAAAAGACTCATATTTTATGTGAAAGGAAATAAAAATGTAGATCTTTCAGAAAGCATTACATTAAGAAACTGCAAACTAAACACCTCTCCCTAAAAAAAGCAAATTATTTATCATATTTTTGATTAATTCCTGAATAAATAAATAAATATTGCATTTTTTTTTTTAAATCAAAGTATTTGCCTCTTTTCTCCTTCCGGAAAACTCTAAAACATAAAAAAGAAAATTACTGCATATCAATATCTACCCATCTAATATATGATGGTGCTCATAAATTAAGAGACGGACACATTTGAATTTTAGGATAAAAAAGGCCAATCATCAGTGATGGAAATTCCTAGTCAGTTTCAAGTGACTTGTGATGCAGATTTAATAAGCTGGCCAATTATTATGAAAATGTGTGGAATCACAGGACAACACAAGATTTCTAATTATTCATAATAGTTGAAGAGGAAATGATCCCATTGATCAGTATCCGGATTTATTACCGTGCTCAATCCATGATAAGATTAAAAATAGGAACAGACTTCGCAAAAGATACCATATCTTTTGGGGCCCTCGTTAAAAAAAGGAGCTTAGTTAAATCAGGAAAATCAAAAAGGATATTCAGAGTTCACCGCGTAGACGCGTGGAATGAGAAAATGCTTAATTTTAATGAGCCGGATAATGCTTTTTGGACTTTTGCCAGAAAACCTACGACGCAAGCCACACTGCAACAAACCCATCTATAATAGGAAATTGCATAGCACTTACCAACAAGGATAAGGCTTCTCTTATGGCTAAACATTTGGCTGATCAGTTTATGCCAAATTCTGATCCTTGTGATCTTACTTTTGCGTACGATGTACGCTATTTTATCAAAGACTGGATCAGCGGCCCCGGGCGCACAACTGCACGAATTTCACCTCACCCAAGGAAATTAAAGAAATCATTAAAGCGGCTGAAAAATAGAAAAGCCCCGGATATGATTCGATCACGAACGTTGCTATTAAGTACTTGCCTTTGAATATCATCTCTAAATATGCAAGTATTCTGAATGCCTGTTTAATGCATAATTATTTCCCTGACAAGTGGAAAATCGCCAAAGTTATTCTGCTGAATAAGCCTTGGAAAAGATGCTACTCGTCCGAACGGATACCGTCCCATCAAGCTTACTCCCAGGACTTGGGGAAAATATTTGAGAGCGTAATTCTCAAACGTCTTGAACCCTTCATGTCTAGACTCCCACCCGAACAATTCGGGTTCAGAAAAGGCCTCTCGAACTACGAAACAACTTGTTCGGCTTATGGAATTCACAGGTGACGCCCTGCACAAGAATCAAAGTGTTGCCTTACTCATTGCTGGACGTGGCGAAGGCCTTCGACCGCGTCTGGCATGAGGGGCTCATTTTTAAGCTCATATCTGCTGATTTGGATAGAGACCTCATACTTTTAATCTATTCCTTTATAAGGACAGAAAATTCTATGTCAGTATTGGTAATGACAAATCTCAATGTCAACGTTTAAATGCCGTCGTGGCTCAGGGGTCAATTTGGGACCTATCCTTTATTTGTTTTACGTCGCAGATTTCCCAAAGTATAAGATGGACAACAACACTTTCCTAGGATGCTACGCGGACGATACGACTTCCCTCAGAGCCGAAATAGCGGTTTCTAAATTACAGAGCATCATCCCCGCACTGGAACATTTGTGCACAAAATGGCGTATTGCTATCAATGCGCAGAAATCGCAGTTGCTCATTGTTCGTAAAAAGACTCCTAGAAACCCTTTAAATGTGACTTTAAAACTTTTTGACATAGATGTGCCTATTGTAAATAAGGCTGTTTATCTTGGTGTCGTCATGAATAATAAACTCAATTGGAAAGACCATGTGACTAAAGCTAGAAGTAAGGCCATGGCTGCACTTACTAGCATTTCTTCCATTATGGGCAAAAACTCAAAGTTAAACCTCTCTAAAAAGAGACATTTATATACGGCGGTTATCCGTCCCATTTTCTCGTACGCGTCCCCGGCGTGGGCAGCGGCCACACATAGAGATATAAATAAATTGCAAATTCTCCAAAACAAAGCCCTGCGTGCCGTTCCTTGCTCAATTCAACACGTTTGTTTATATACCTCTGCAAGAGGACTACAAAATAAGACCGTACGCAGCACATATCACGAGGAATGCAAATTTCCCTACTTAATTATGATAGCGCACGAACACTTTGTACATATGTAAATATTTATTTTAATTGGATTTGTATTTTATTTTGTACCTTATTTGTGTATTTATGTACCCTGTAAATTATTTTATTTTTACTTTCTGTGTATTGTTTTATACATGTATATGTCACGAACAGACACTTGTCAGATTGCGCGACACCAGCCTCTCCTTGGTATTTCTCCCCTTGTGACGCATGGTCACCTCCTCTCACCTACCTCCGATGCCTCCTTGGCCCATCCTGTTTTTACCGTCATGTGCCCATACGGCTAATTCTATCATTGAGCAGGACACGTCGCGCTCTGCGATACCGGTATGACTGACTGACTGAGTTCTTAAAAAGTACTCAGGTGGCCTTTTCGAAACCATTAGCCTAAAACTTCTACTTATAGAAATGCTTTAAATGAGCCAAATATTCATGTTTTCATATTTTAAAAATCCATTTTTTTAAATCATGAAATCTAACTTTTTATTCTGTCACCCATTCCCCGTAGTTGCAAATAAAAGTTATCTGTCCGAAGAGTCAGCAAGTGCTCCTTTTTATGGTAAGTCACTGGTTTACATATCTTTCATTTGCTCTGCAATGAATGAGATAAAAAAAAATTTATAATGTTTTCAATTATTCTGAAAAGGTATCTATCTGCCTACGTTCGGAGCACTTTTTTTAAAAAACATAGAATTCTGATTAAATATATATTTATTTAGTCAAAATATGATATCAAATCATGAAAATAGGTAAACTTTTAGGAATATTTTCATAAATTTTTTAAACATATGCAAATTTTTAGGAGACTAACACGTTAAATGTTTCGTATATGTTTAAGCCTTTATCACATAGTCTTGTAGGCTTGATAATGTTCAAAACAGATTCTCGTAGACTTAAATTTTTTTCTGAAATTTTCTCCTACTGGGCACTCCATGCATTTCTTTTTTCTTGCTAGAACAACAATGGAAAAATGCAGCAATAACTGCCGACTGCATACTTTGTAAATGTCCTACGTTGCTTTGGATAGCAATTCCGTAATAATTCTGTAATTTATCAATAAATTTATCCGTTAATTTGCCTTTTCCACCTAACCCTTTTTTTTTTCCAATTTTCGCAAACGAGTACCAACTCTTTTTTGGACATGACCGCTACATTCTAGTTTCTTAACCGAGTCTTTTCCATAGATTGGTCTTTCACTTCCATATACGCTTTGGAATCTCCATCTCCAAAATACTCAATATACTGCGATTCCCGACTTTTTCTCGATCTTTCAAATATTCGGTACGCTCCGACGACTTCCATATTCCCAGCTGAACCCTTATGATTCGAACATACATGATCACTTTTTGTATAATTGCCATTACATATTCTGCAATAATGAGACATTACTTCCAAGTCTAAAATTTTACCTGTGTCAATAGAAATGACAGATACACAACCATTCAGTGATGTATGGCCACGACGCTGCCGAGTTACATCTACAGAAACACCACAAGCTGTACTTTTCTTTAAATTTCTAATTTCTTTGGCAGCTTCTTTCATGTTCTGATCAGATACATATTTTACAGCTTCTAACAAGGAGGTTAGAATAGAAGGAGGGAAGGTTCAACTCAAACGGTGAAGCTTGGCGGACATGTTACTGTTATCGCTGTGACTTGTGCAAGGTAATTGCAACATTTTTTTTCTTTTCTTTTTGAAGCATGTCAGCTTGTGTTGCATATGGATGCACAAATATATTTTCGAAAAAGATTCCTGGAATTACTTTTCACTTGTAAGTATTGATTTTCGTTTTCTATGTAATTTAATAAATATCACAATGTCATGTTGTATTCTTTCCAGATGTGAAAAAGAGTACTTAATAATAATCAAACTATATTAAATACGTTTTAATGCTTTTGTTATAGCTGATATCCTCGTTCCTTAACATACAATGATATATGCTAGGATTTAAACTGTATAATTTGAACGTTTTAAATAATTCGTTTTAGAATTTTCATTAAAATAAGAAATCAATTGTTACTACTTTTATGAATTGTAAATGTTGTTAAATAAAGTAATGCTTTTATTTATGTATTAATTATTATTCATGTTTAAGTTTTGTGAACTGTTAGGAATATAATTTGTGGATTTGATCAAGATAAACTACCTGTTTTGTTGTTAAAATTTTTTTGCATAAATTTACAAATTTGTGAGCAGTATAGCGATAGAAGTAAAATATTTACACAACTGAACATGTGGGAAAGATGTATCCAAATATTTACATTGGTATATTTCTGTAATTCACCTTAATTCAAGGAAATTTCTTTGAGACTGAAATATGAAACGAGCATAAACTGAAATCATTTAATTCACATAAATCTGTTTTATTTTATTAATATTTATTTTCATGTTGTTATAAGGTTGTTGGTTGTAAAAAGAATCTATTTAAAACGTTCATTTAAAAAAAAATGCAACTTGTGACTATCTTTTTAGATAATTATCTGCTATTAATTTCAGGTTTAAATTATTTTAAATGATTCTTTAGTAAATTATAATATTGTGAATATATCAGAAATATCACTTGTTAAAGGAAAAATTGCAAAGTACACCCAACAGGCTGCTAATAAAACCTAAACAAATTCTTTAAATATACAGAAACTTCATTTTTAAAGGCTTTAATGTTATGCACTTGCATTTAGATTTCTAACTAGTTCTTAATGATTTTCTGTACGTAGTTAATTAAGAATATTATCTTTATAACTTTAAAACAAAAAACTAACAATAGCGAAGGATTTCATTATAAATTTAACATATTTTTACTGGAAAATACATGCACAGAACAGCTTAACAACACGTACGTTTCACTGCCGTAATGCAATGTTTTGAAGTTACAAACATGGACGCCGCTTGTTCGGTGGAGTTTCATTCCCCGACAGTGGAGGAAATTGCGAACCTTCCCTCCTTCTATTCTATCTAACCTCCTTGGCTTCTAACAATTTGCTTTCATGCTGCCTAAATGCTGTTTTTGATATGAATGGCAAATTCAAAGTAAACAACACCATTTTACCAGATGTGTAACCTTTTCAAATGAGTCTTAATCCAAACACCAAGATAGAATTTAAAATAGTCAAAGAAAATCGACAAAATCCAATTCTTCTTACTCTTGTAAAATGTGCCAAACAAATAAGTGGGCGATTCTGCACTTTAGCAACGAAATTGTTTCGAAGTGCTTATTAGCTAAAATCACGATCGGAATTTTCCGGAAAATATCACATTACATGTCTCGTGATCTCTTATTTCTCTGAGACAAAATAATCTGTGATTCGAACTGTGTACTTCTCAGACTATTGCTAAAGTCCTAGCTAGTAACCTTTATCGCCTTACCAAAATGTCGCCAAACTAGCTGTTACCATATTCTAAAGATTAGCCAAATATTCTTATTTCCATTTTTGGGAGTTGAAGAAAATGCTTTTATAAATCCACATTTGCATTTCAAGCTAAAGTTTGAGCAAAGTCCAAATTTTGAATCTTCTACTAATTGCAAGCCAGTTTTGAAACACACTGCACAGCAGAGAATAGAAAAGACAGAAGCTAATTTTACAATATAAAATATTCTATTTCTTTTTAAGTCTTGACCATTGTTTGCAGTCATAACATCTGTAAGTTCAAAAGTTTTTAATTTCGATGAGCTTGCAGTTGTCACATCATTATCACAAACAGTTCGAGTTCCAGTTGTATAACGATTAAAGTAAAATGATCGCTTTTTACTTTTCTTAGATTTCGCTTTTGGCATCTTAGAATACTTAAAATAATATAGCAAATGTTCAAAAGAAAATAAATAAAAGAAGCAAAGAGATAAATATAAAAATTAAACAAAAATAAAGCGTGAATATGCGTGTAGGAAACGAAGAACAAGCGTAGAACAAATGTAAGCAAAAATCGCAATGTTGCCAGTCCCAGTTCAAAAAATTAAGGCAAATAATTATTGCCAAAAAAAAAAAAAAAGTACCCAGAATTAAAATGAAATGTTTTAGCACAATTTACACACAAATAGGTAAAAAAAAAAAAAAAAAAAAAAAAAAAAAAAAAAAAAAAAAAAAAAACACGGATAACACCGTTGTTTACCTTTTAAGTTGAGCCTTTTAAATGGCACTTCCGGTCTTTCTGCTTTCACTTCCGGTGCAGTTAATTGGCCATATCTTCTCTTCTAATTATTACAAACGTAAAAATGAACCATTTTCGGAATCCTACAAAACTGACGTTTCAAATTGGGCAGTTAAAAAAAATCGAATTTTTTCGCCAAAATCGTTTTTTTTAATGTAGGCAGATACCATATTACGGCCATTCTCATTTTGCGCACATTTAGAAGCATAACTGATGGTTTTCCTTTCATGTAACTGGAAACTCGGATACCATATCAACGGATTCGACTGTTCGACAACTAATGCTTTTTTTGGTGCTACTTTGGTAGACGGTTGCACGGATTTTGGCGAGTAATACAACTTATGGTAAACCCATTGCTGGATAAGTTATTTATGGTAACCGATACTTTGTTGTCATTTTATTAAAAAAAAATGCGTTTTATTATGCATAACTTCCGTGTTTTAAATATTATTTATGGCTTCTAAATATTAAAAATCAATTTAATTTTACATTTTTATTTGAAATAAAAATTTTGTTGTTTACAATATTTTATATAATTTTATGTTGTGGATAATGTAATCAATGACGTCACCTTACTTAAAAAGTAATTGGTTTTATTAATATCTATAAATTTAATCTAATGTTTTAAACATTATTTATGGCTGTTAAATATTAAAATAAAATTTAATTTTGCATTTGTTTTAAAAATGATTTTATTATGAATGATTATTTAAATAATTTTAATTCTATGCGTGATGTAATCAGCTCCCTGCTTGGTTACTGAATATTTGTGCATTACCGCGCCATTTTAAAATTTTATTGTTCATCTCTTCGAATTCCTCGGATTTCAAATGGAATGGATATCTCCGTTTCGAAGACGAATGTTGTTATTGGTAATTACCAAGAATTATTGGTATTGGAATAAAAAAATTCCCCTTTGAGACTTTAAAGTACTTTACTTTTGAGACTTTGGCCAACCTGTCTTTCCTAATCAAAGATTTATTTATAAATTGTTAATAGCGTCAGAGGAAACTTTGGAGGAAACCTCGCTAATTGCTTCTTCAATGAAGTGCGAAATATCTGGATAACTGATGAAGATGGTTAAAAGATCCGATTCAATTATGATTTCGATTTTTTTGTGGTACTTAT